TTTTTTTTATCCTCCTGTGAGTTGGAGATTATTCTCCTTAAGCGCCGTAAACCTATGGATCCTTTGCTTGTGTTTGTGTGAGCCTGCATGTGTGGAAAGTGAGCAGATGTTGTGAAGGGAGAGGCCGCCGAGCGTACTGCAGCTCTGACACGATGACAGATGAAGATAAAGAGGCTACTATTAAAAGTGGGAGGCGTATGTGTGTTTTCCGATGGGCCTCTGCGGGCACGTGCAAGACCGAGTGCGCGCAATGGCGAGAGGTGATGCAAGGACCAGCGGGCACCGGGAGGCGCCGCTGCACACGGCAAACCAGTGAAACCGGATGGAAGGTTCTTATCCCCCGCTGCTACAGCGAGGCTGCAGAGATTCTTCAGAGTGCAGTAGAAAGAGAGAGATAAGGCGAGAGAGAGACAGAGAGAGAGAGAGAGAGAGTATTTTAATTTGGCCAAGACTGATAACACTCTAAGAAGAAGTAGTTCTGTTAGGCCGTCGGTGGGACCAGCGTGTGAACAGAGTCAAACATGACTGCTGCCTCATAAGTCAAACCTTATCCTTTATCCTCTTCTATCAGCAGTGACGCGTTCTTTACCTTCAAGAAATATATAGTGAGTGAGTTGATATCTGTCAGAGCTGAACATGTGTAAGAGCTGTGACCGGAGGAGGAATTGATGGATGTGATACGAAAGAACGTAAGGATCGTGAACATCACATGTGACTTTAACAGGACAGTACTTTGATAACGGAGAGTAAACCAGGACACAGATCCATGGCGTAGATTTGATTCTTTTGTATTTTAATTCAATCTCAGACTGGATATTAAATGTGTTCATTTCAGTTGGTTAAAGAAAAATAACATTTCTGGCACACCAGAAACACTGATTCAGACTCCAACCCAGTAGGTGGCAGTGATGTGCAGTAGTGTTTTTTTTCCATTACTTTATGATCACATCATAGTTGTATGTAAACAAACAGCTTTATGCCTGCAGTATTACCTCTGTGCCAAACATGTTGCCGTGAGCACGTACAGCTAATGAAGCTAATATTAGCTACAGCACTTTCAACAGCGTGCAGTTGGACAAATGAGGGGATACAGAACTAAATATGTCTTAAAATGTTGCACAAAACAGCTGTAACTTCACCGTGTGTTTGCACTAATCTGTGATCGTAGGACCGAGATAAAATCGTTTTGAAAATCAAAAAGAAAAAAAAAATTTAAATCTCGTCCCACGATAACATACAGCTTCTAGTTTCTGTTCTTAAGGAAGTTTTTTTTTTTTTTAAATGGAACATTAGACTTTTTATAAGTTAGCTGTCTGCTGGGTTTTTTGGAAGCAGCCCCTGCTGGTCACCAGTGTAACTGCACCTACCTGTATCTTACATGAATACGTATGCAGTGGATCCGTTCAGTCGTTTTTAATGAGTCTTAGTAAATACATGTCTGTGTGATGTGTTCATACACAAACACAAACCCTTGACCCCGAGATAAATGCAAAGAATTTGTGCATAAAAATGTTATGTCAGTGTCCTATCAGGGGGAGCTGTGGGGAGCTGTGTGTGTGTGTGTTTAAGTGTGTGCGTAACCTGAATCTGGCTGTTGTGGGAGGCCGCTGTGGACTGGTGTTCAGTGTCTCTATCATCACCGACAATCTGTTTCAACATGTCCACACACTGCACACATGCTCACATCAGCGATGGAAAAGCTCCACATTCCTTCCAAACTCACCACGCTGTGTTTAGTGCGCAGGCATTCAAAACAAGCTGCCTTTATTGCCTTACACTCCACTGTGTTGTTGACTGGCAGCCTGGAACCTGAGTGACTGTATACAGAGGAAGTGGCAACAATGTGGAGTTTACGTCTTATCTGTAATTGGCATCAGGGTGTCAGACGGTAGTAAAGGCTGATTTGACTGTGTGTGGCTCAGAGCAGACGGAGAGACGGAGAGAGAGCGTCGCTGTCCGTCCGACAGCAAAAACATCACTAACTATACACTTCCACCTAAGATGGAAAGAACGTTAACATTTGGATGTGGTCAGATGTGCTCGACACCGTGCACTTACGTGTGATTGAAAGCAGCAGTCTCGCAAAAATGAGCGGCGTGTTGGCAGCCACTGAAAATGAAACACTTCCAAAACCAGAAACAAAAGAGAACTTTGTCAACTAAAACAAATCATGCAGTCGGGGAAAATGGCCACGGGGAAGTTGATGAAATGGATAGAGTATTTGCAGAAACAGGAGGGAGGGGAAGAAAAAAGAAAAACAAGTGATGCAGAGACTTGTGAGCCAGAGAGTGAGGGAGCGAAAGAAGGAGGGCAGAATGAGTTTGGGGGGAAAGTTAGTGGCCCAGTGGGGGTTTCTTCTAGAGTTCAACCTCTCTGGCTGGGGAAGGAAGGACAGGAGGGAGGGGAGGCAGGAACCGGCCTGGGTCAGCAGAAGTATGGAGAATGTGTAGATTAGATGTCTAAACTGACTGTGTGAAGCCTCTGAAGTGCTGGAAGACTCTGCTCCCAACGCCCAGCGCCAATAAACGGGGAGAACCTGGGGTTAGCGGTCTGAACGATTGTATCCAAGGCAGAAAAATGAAATGTCAGAACCAGGAGTGAGTCCAACAGCCTCCATAAATCTCCCAAAACAAAAGAGGTTCGAGTGTGAGCGCACGATATTATAAATGGATTGTGTTGCAGCTCGTTGGCCCGCGGCGCAGCTCTGGCGTTTAACGCTGATGTTACATAGAAGAAGAGTTGAACGGTTAGCGCTCCAGCTATCTGTGAGTTTCCAGGATGCTGTTTGAAAACACGGAGAGGGAGGAGGGGCGGGGGTACAGGAAGGAGGCGATAGACAAGTGTGAGAGGAATGCATGTGGATCATAAATATGTGACTGGAGGCAGTGGTGATTTAATCTGAATGCATCCAGATCAGGACTTTGTTTCCGAAATTTATTGCTCTGCAAATGGGTGGAGGGTCGGAGGGAGGAAAGTGAGGGAAGCTTTAGGAACAAACTGTTAACAGGGGCATCTTATCACACTTTGTTCTACAGCCTCAATCATCTGTCTGCGCTGTCATAAAGCCGGGCTTTATGGCTCGACAAGTGTATGAAGAAACACTTCAGAAACATCAGAAACTACTGATGTTGTTTACCACGGGGCGCAACAAAGGAGCTGTGTGTGTTTGTGTGTGTGAGCGCCATAATGGTGTTATGGTGTATTTTTTTTTGTGTTTTTTTGACAATCTTTATCCAGACCAATATTTAGCATTGAGCGTGCTAATATTTGTGTGGGTTTTTTTAGACATTTGACAATGTATTTTGAAGCTTTTACATTTGAACGTTTAGCATTTTTTGACGTTTTGATGTTTTAACCTTCAGCTCACCTTCAGATGGTCCATAGAAACTTTTTTTTGCTAATTATTTACTAAACATTTATTATTCAGCTAAGTATATTATTGTTCGCTAGTTGAAGCTCTTGTTACTTTTTTTTAGCTGTTACCTTTAACATTTATAAGACCTAAACTTAGCTCTCGTTTGTCTCCTCTGTAATTTTACAACAGGATTCATTTATATTTGAACATGTCCCTCTGGGCAGTGGCCACTTCACTAATGATATATATTACAGAAGAATTCAAAAGCTCAGCATCAAAGAAACTCAGAGACAAATTGAGATATTAATGGACTTTTGTTGAATGTGTACGACCTTCAGGAAGAAAGATGAAACACATGAAAGTCTTTTTTGGAAAATCACTCTGTGTGTGTGTGTGTGTGTGTGTGTGTGTGCCAGCTTGGGAAAATAAACGGCGGGGGACTGAACTGCAGGAACTGCAGCTTTTAGGTCAATAAACATTTCAATCAAAAATCATTCAGTTCAGCCCCAAAGGTGAAAGCATGGTTTCTTTCATAAGACAGGAAAAAGAATGAAGTGTGAGACAGAGGAGGAGGGAGGGCTGTGAGTGGGTGAGAGGGGGGAAGGGGGAGGGGGTGGAGGAAGGGAGGGAGGGCACTGTGTGTTTATGGAGAGCATAGCCAGCAGCACAGATTGACAGGAAATGGTGTCTTTTTTGCCTGCTGGGCCGTACCACTTGTGCTGGCCTGACAGGGGGAGATGAATGTGCAGGGACCACAGGCTCGAGCCATTCTATTATCATAGATCTCCCATTGTATCAGGCTGTTTGCTTTAGCCCAGCAAGAGTCTATCTGTCTGCGGAGCAACAGTTAGGGCCAGTGACAGGCTGTTTCATTGACCGCAGACCTCCTATTGATTTCCTTTGATTTAACATCACTGTGAGTGAGCGGCTGTGCTTTAAATTGAATTGCTTTTAGCAGTACACACAACAACCTATGTTTAAAAACAAAACAAAAAAGTGTGTGGTGGGGGGGCAACGTTGGATGGCCGACTATCGCGGTCGTAGACCCAGCGATGCGTTATTTTAGGTTAGCTGTTAATACAGCATTTATGTTGACAACAACTTATCACATTTGCACCTCCTGTATTTTCCGCGCACGTCGTTGCAAGTGTCGTCCAGGAATAAATCACAAACAAGGTCAAGTGAGCCTCCGAGAAGTGTGTCTAGCACATGGTGTGTTTGTATATTGGGAGTATTTGTCTGTGTAAATGCACTGTGGGGATTGAGCGAGGCAACGCTCATCCATCACTGTTGAAGCACTTCCAGAGGGAGACGCAGAGAAAAAACTGCTCGTCCTGCGTTCACTCCGACACTCTGGGAAAGAGGGAGGGATCGGGTCCTGGCATCTGGTTCCTGGGTTCAACCACAGCACAATGTTCTGTCTCTGCGACTCTGTCTCTGGCTCTCGTTCTCACACACGTACAAACCCGGGCCTGTGGCTGGACTTCAATGTGGTTATGATTAGGAACGGAGGCTGAGGGAAGGGAGGGGAGGGGGCTCATATTTACTGCAAGGGTACTGGGGGGAGGTGCGATGTAATGACGGACAGAGAAGGGACAGGGTCTGAATGGGAGCTGATTGGGGGGGGGGGGGCTGTGTTTGTTTGCGCTTGGGGTTGAAATATGAAACACAAAAGCAGCGAGGGCTGAAAAAGGCCGGAGAAAAATGAGAATAAAGTTTGTCCTCCACACGGATCAGTTCTTTGGCCAGTGCTGGCTCCGCTGGTCATCCCCCTCTCCTCGCTCCCCTCCTCCCCCTCCTCCTCCTCCTCTATCCCCTTCCTCAGGATTGGTTCCTCTATCCCTCCCTCTCTGGTATTCTCTCGCTCACTCGGTTTCTCCACCCCCTCTCTGAGCGTCATGCAGAGGCAGTTGGTTTGCTCCACCATGTCTGGGGCTCAGCGAGAGCCGTGAGAGGCTGGTATTTAGGTCTGTTACGGCAGACAGGGAGCAGCTCACCCAAGGGCAGGGGGAGACAGGGAGTCGGAGACAACAGTCAGCTCAGCCAGGCAGGAACCAGATCAGCAGTCCAGCTGAGGAGGAAAGAGAGAAAGTAGGACAGTGTCAGGACAGAACAGGCAGACGGAGGGACAGTGAGACATAAGTGAGGACAGCAGCTCCTGCTAGCTGTTGCTGCCGACTGTTGTTGTCACTGCCTCAGCCAGTGACGTGAGCAGTGGAAGCAGGACAGGACAGGACAGGACAGGACGCATCCAGGACAGGGGGACAGACAGACTGGTAGTGATTTTCTCTGCTGTAGGTTGTGGCCGGTGGGAGGGCTGCCATGTTCGACTGTATGGAGGCTCTGGGAATGGGCCCCCGTCAGCTGTATGATGTCAGCAGCCGCGGTGCGTGCATGCTACGGAAGGCAAGCCCCTTCTTTGCGGGGCTGAACCCCTTCGCTTGGACAGGCAGTGCGAGCATTCAGTGTAAGTGGCATCCTGTTTGTATTTTCTTGCATGACACAACCGTGACTCTCTCTCTCTCCCTCTCTCTCTCTCTCTCTCTCTCCCTCCCCCTCTCTCTCTCTCCCTCTATCTCATATTACTGACTTGTTTACCCCTCAGGGCCTGGCTAAGGGGGCTGCTGTCAGGGGCTACAGTGTAACACAGGAAAGGACTGGGACACACAGACAGACATATAGTCTCCTCTTCTCTCTTCTCTCTTCTCTTCTCTCACATGCTCAGTCATCTGAGAAAAAAGCTGCCTGCTATGATATAATATGGACAGTGTGTTATACACGTGTGTGTGTGTGTGTGTGTGTCTCCTTGGTTAGACTCTGTGGACACCTTGTCAAGTTCGGCCACAGTTGTGTATTTCTCATGAAAAGATAATGGCGAGCGTGGCCTCTTTATTATGAAGGATGATTCCCAGTGCAGGGCTTCACTGTTCAGCACTTTGTTTATGCTCCTCCATACAAGACGGAGAATGATAATCTTCTAGCCATGAATTAATAAATAGATGAATAATTTACTGGATAAATAGATGAATAAATTAGAGTTGTGGAATGCCAACGCAGAGAAAAGCCGGGGGTTATTTTTAGCCCATCTTTTCTTTCTTTCTTTTTCTTTCTTTCTTTTTTTTTTTTTTTTTTGCTCTTTCCTCTGTCAGTTTCTCATTCAACAGGCCTGTCTTTGGACAGACAAAACTGGGGTCCATTTCCATACACTTCCAGGGGGCCGCTACGGCTGTGAGACAGCGTGTGAGAGTGGAAAAGGAGTGGGTGTGTGTGTGTGTGTGTGTGTGTGTGTGTGTGATGTGATGGGAGAATCCAAGCCAGATATGACAGTGGAAAAACAATCAAGACTAAAATATGCAGCAGAGGGATAAACAGTGGAGCTGTCTTCGTGTTACAGGGAGTTTTTTTGTTTTTTTTTAAAATTTGGTTCCACTTTTTTTTCTGTATTTTTCCTGTTTGTTCATACTCCTGCCTTTTTGTTCCTTTTTACTGCCTCTTGAGGGGAGTCATCTGTCTTCATTAATCGTGAAGACACTAGCATTTCAGTGGCTGTCATGCACACTGGCTGAGCTTTAATGAAGACAGATGCCCTGTCAGTGGAGGCCGAGG